AAAAAACGTGGCGTCACACTAGTCATGTGACTCGCTGACGCAACAATATAATTGTAGGCCTTTTTCTGTGAAAAGTGTGCTGAGACAGACTGCCCAGTTGCCTTCTCAGTTCTGATTTTGGGCGAATCTTTCATATCTCTACAGGAAGGCATCCACGTCATCTTTCTGTTCATTAAATTTGGGCAGCTTGGATCGCCTTACCCTGACCCCATTGTCATTCTTGGGTTCTTCATCTTTCTGTTGGGTGAGTTTTGCAATCTCAGTTTGTGCTCTTATTCACTATTTCTAGTCTATCCTCTCTCTCCTTTTCTTTTTTCTCAATTTGTCCTCTTATTCTTTCTCTCTCTATTTCCTTTTTTTATTTTAGTCTTTCTTCCTCTCTTCTCTGTTTATGCTACTCTCTCTATAGTTCTTCTTCTTCTTGTTGTTTAACAAATGTTTGTAGATCACTATCTTTTAATCCAAGATGCCCACCTCTTTTAATCCACTTATTAAAATCTGTTTACATGGTAATATAGCGTGATTGTAATGTCTGCACTATTTGCTTCCCCACTACCGTTGTGCGTATATAAGCGTAGTTATTTTCGCTCTCGTTCACGTCCTCTTCTACCGTCGTTTATCACTGTATAATCCTGGCTGTTTCGCCAAAGTTAGGGTTTTATGTATATTGGCTTGGATTCTTTACAGTAGATGTCTATGACTTGTTGGCAATAAATTTGAACAATAAACGGACATCACCAATCCACTTGTTCTATTCAAAACAAGTCAAATGTATGTACAAAAATTCTTTACACTACAGGATATCACAGTTTTATCTAAAACTCTAAATAATACTCTTTTTTTGTCAAAAATTCACGCAGACTAATTCAATTACTTTAAAATCCAGTTGACAAGACGAATTGTTTCGTACTGTTACGTATCTCCTTATTTGTTAATTTCCCGTAGAAATTCTTTCTGAGAAACTTCAGTGATACAAGTCCTTTCTTGATTAACCCAGTTTATTCTTTCTCGATACAAACTTTTAATAC